GGGACAGAAATAACTTGCTGGCTTTCTGTCCAGCCACAGATAAATAAGTATTATAACTCATTCTTATGTATTCCTGACTGCAAACAGTTCTGGCAGTGCCTCCATCACTATATGTATCTTTTAATTTTTTTTAAAGTTTTTTATTGAAAAGGTTCAGTTAGCAGGGAAGAGGAGACAGGTCTTCCATCCTGCTGGTTCCCTTCCCAGATGGCAGCAATAGCTGGAGCTGGGCCTGTTCGGTGTTGGGAGCAGGAGTCCTTGGGCTAGCTTCCCCTGTTTTTCCAGATAAGCAGAGAACTGGTTCAGAAGTGGAACAGCTGGGACTTGAACCTGCGCCCCTATGGAATGAGAAAGCTGCAGGCAGAGATTTAGAGTGCTGTGTCACTGCCCAGGGTTGGATGTGGGCAGAGGGGGAGCTGTCAACCATTTTTTCCAGGTGTGGGGATGGAGACACAGATGTTAATAGTCCCTAACATTTGTGTGAAACAGAATTATCTATTCACTTATTTGCAATATATCTGTAATAATATTTGTTTGTTGTAAGTATTAGCCTTGCTTTCTCACTTGTGAAATGAGACTGGGAATAAACTGACATTGCAGGAGGAAGGAGTGAGTGCAGCTGCCGTAACCCAGCTGGCAGAGCAATGGCTGCGAAGTGTAGAGAGCATGTGTTGGAATACGAGGCTCTGGTTTACATTTTAACCAAGTAGCCATGAGCACAACCCACAAGCACTTTGCCTTTTGTTTGTTATTCTTATTTATCTGTTTTTTCATTTGACATTCTACGGAAGAGGATGGGGAGCTGGCGAGAGAAAACTGAGGCAAAGACACCAAGATGTGGGAAAGAGCCCTGGAGGTATATGTGGAAATAATATTCCAGCTGGATGGACATTAATATGGGAAAAAAATGTTCAGTGGGAGGGGCGAGTCAGTTCACAGGTACTTAGCTACGCTGTAGGGGGACGGTAGACATGGGCTCTCACAGGCTTGGGAAAAGAATTTGCATTGCAGAACCCACATGATACCCTAGTGGCTAAATCCTTACCTTGCATCCACTAGGATCTCATGTGGGTGCCGGTTTGTGGTTTGTGTCCTGGCTGCCCCACCTCCCATCCAGCTCCCTGCTTGTGGCCTGGGAAAGCGGTGGAGGACGGCCCAAAGCCTTGGGACCCTGTACCTGGTTGGGAGATCCAGAAGAAGTTCCTGGCTCCTGGCTTCGGGTTGGCTCAGCTCCAATCATTGTGGCCACTCAGGGAACAGACCAGTGGATGGAAAATCTTTCTCTGTCTCTTTTCTGCATATCTAACTTTCCAATTAAAAAAAGAAATATATGTATATAAAAATTTGACATTGCTACGGCAGTGGCTTGCTCAGGTGTATGGAAGAAGCCAGCATCTCCATCTGGAGCCCACTTGCTATCTTGGTCCCTTGAGGACTCCCATGCCTTCCTCTGTGTCTCCTTTGGGCCCACTGCATGCTTCCCTCCTGAGGCCTGAGCTTTTGCATCATCTTGGCAAACTTCCTCCACCCCCTGCCTGTCATTTTGCTTTCCCAGTACCAAACTCTACTGTTCTGTAACCTGTTGCGTTTTGTGTCTCCAGTGGTGGTCACAGAACATCCCTGCCGACCCCACCCTCATAACCAGTTTGCTGCCAAAGGCTGGGATCATGCTAGAGTTTTCCTGGGCACTTGGCACAGATGGGAAGGTCAGTGGCTACACCTGCATCTCAGTGTAGGGTCGGAGACTCTGTGCAGCAGGAATTTCCTAACTGAAGGCCTGTAAACTGGGAGCATTTCCAATCTGCTTTCAACATACAGTTCTTCTGTCCCTGGTTTACATGACCTTTGTAGGCAAAAATCACAGGTGGTCAACACCCCTTGGGACACCCTTTCTGTGTCCCTTGTTCCTGCTGACTGTCCACTTCCCTTCCAAACCCCTGAGCTGCCCCTTCTCCCCCCGCTCCCCCATTTGCCTCTGGTACCACATTCTGTACAAGCTAAGAATCTCAAGGAGAGCTTGGAGAGGCCGTGTCACCATTCGTTCCTTTTCTGGAAAGACTGCGTAGTTGGAAAGAACTCCTTAGGCTTGCCTGCCAGAGGCCTCTAAATAACATCTTCTCTAGGAGCAGAGATTCCATCCTGTCCTGCTAGCATTCAGAGCTGGTGGCAGGTGTTGCTGGGGGGTATTAGGAGGGGTTGTCAAGTTTCTCCGTAAACGCGAAAGCGAAGGCTGTTGTGGACTGTCTGTGAAGGACTGAAAGGAAGAAGGTGTGTGGCCAGGACCAGAGGACCTGTTGAATGCCACGCGAAGCTCTGGGCAGGTTGCTCTTCCATGTACATTAAAGTCAAAATTTTTCACTCTGTGGAATCAGTGTGACTGCTGTCCCACACTAAATCCTCCGCTTCTACAATTCCTCGATTCTCTCCCACACAGGACCTTGACGTGCATCGTTCTTTTTGCCTTCTCACTTCCCTTTCCATAGTTAAATCTACTGTTCCTCGGGATCCCGGTGCAGGTTGTTCCTCAGGGAAGCCATCTGTGACCCTCAGGTGTCCCAGTGACCTACTGATCCTCGGCTTGATTCCTGGTTGAATCCTCTCAGGGCTCTTGTACAGGCTGGAGAGTAACAAGTAAGGATGCTTCAGGAAGAGAGATCACATGGTCCAGAGGTTTGGGAGGGATGCCTTTGAGAGGGAAGGCGAAACATTAACATCCAGGGGAGTAGGACCTTTGCTGCAAAGAAATTAGGATTTCATTTTATTCATTTATTTTTAAATATTTATTTGTTTTATTGAAAAGGCAGACGTATAGAGAGAAGAGGAGAGACAGAGGAAGATCTTCCGTCCGATGATTCACTCCCCAAGTGGCCCCAATGGCCGGTGCTGCACCAATCCAAAGCCAGGAGCCAGGAACTTCTTTCCGCATCTCCCACACAGGTGCAGGGTCCCAAAGCTTTGGGCCGTCCTCGACTGCTTTCCCAGGCCACAGGCAGGGAGCTGGATGGGAAGCGGGGCTGCCGGGATTAGAACCGGCGCCCACATGAGTTCCCGGCACATTCAAGGCGAGGACTTTAGCTGCTAGGCCACGCTGCCAGGCCCCTATGTAGCCTGTAATTAAATATGTCAATATTTCTGTGGCAAATTCTACAGAGGCACATAAAGGAGGTAAATAATGAGTATGAATAACCTGACTTCAGTTCAGGTTAAGTCAAGTCAGGTTTTGATGTCAAACTTAGGCTCCGTCCCTGCTTTTGGATTTCAGAACCGAAGGTAGGGTACTGCGGACCTATACTTACCTGCCCGTTGATAGCATGGCAGGGTTGTCATTGAAGCTTTGGTGCGGTGACCCAGTGCCCATCTTACAGCCAGACCATGAAGCAGCTGTGGGCTTCTGAGGGAGCTATCAGCCTCTGCAGGCTGTAGGTTCCTCCATTGCAAAAGATTAATTCTTGTACATTGGTGTTCTATGAGAATAACATACCTGGGACCTTTTTTGGTATGTGGAGAGGACAACAGGCAGAGAATGTGGTAGTCATGTGCTGCTGAGATGGGCATTTAAGACACATCCTTGGATAAAACCACACCTGTCAGCCCAGTTCCTAGGCCCCCAGCACAAGCTGAAACTTTCCCTTGAAGTTCCTAACAGGGAGGTTCCTTTCCATGTTGGATTCAGTAGGCTTTCTATTGGATGGATAGAAACAAAGGCAGAGGGTGTCCTAGTCTTACGTCCACTGCCCACTGAAATGTAACAGTTTGAACATAGCATTGCCTGGTGCTCTGGCTTTGCTATGCCAGTCCTGGCTTTCTGCACACGAGGCATGGACTATAACTGCTGACTAATCAGAAACATGTGGTCCTAGGAGATGTTTGGTTCGTAGAGGAGACAGGCCAAGTGAGCTAGGTCTTCCTCAGGTCAAACACCTAACAAGCACTTCCACAGGACACAGAAAAAAACAGACTTAAAAAAAGTTACTGTAGGGCCCGGCGCGGTGGCGCAAGTGGTTAAAGGTCCTCGCCTTGCACGCCCGGGATCCCATATGGGCGCCGGTTCTAATCCCGGCAGCCCCGCTTCCCTTCCAGCTCCCTGCCTGTGGCCTGGGAAGGCAGTTGAGGACAGCCCAAAGCTTTGGGAATCTGCACCCGCGTGGGGGCCCCGGGGGAGGCTCCTGGCTTCGGATTGGCATAGTATCGGCCCGTTGCGCTCACTTGGGGAGTGAATCATCGGATGGAAGATCTTTCTCTCTGTCTCTCCTCTCTGTATATCCGCCTTTGCAATGAAAAAATAATAAAAAATAAATCTTTAAAAAAAAAAAAAAGTTACTGTAAAAACTAACAAGACTTAAATATAAAAATCCAATCTATTCAAAAAGACTGGAAGAAAATTGCAAGTGTGTAGTCCATCCTCCGGCTGCCTGCAGGGTGACAAATAGTCTCAGGGCATCTGTCCTTGTGAGCTGCTTCTCACTTAAGCCAGGACATTCACAACCCCCACACTCATATTTTCACACTCGTGGGAAAATATCTGCCCATGTCCTTGTTCTTTCTTAGCCGCTGCGGCTCTCACGTTGGGTAAGTGGTGCCGAGAGGATGGCCAAGCTGCCAGGATGTCTTTGAAGCTCAAATTGCTGTACGGCTATGTGAAATCATTCTGCAAGTTGTCAAGAGTGAAATAGGTCACAGGAAGAACAGTTCCTCACCCCATCCTCCATACAGGAAATGGTTAGAACTGGAAAGCCAGCAAACTCATCTCAGTGTACAGAACTGTTACTGCCTTCAGCAAGGCTCGGGGGCAGGAGGAATGTTGTTTGTGGATGGATCTTCCGTCTGCTGGTTCACTCTCCAAGTGGCCACAGTGGCCGAAGTTGTGCCAATCCAAAGCCAGGAGCTTACTCCAGGTCTCCCACGTGGGTGCAGTTCCCAAGGCTTTGGGCCGTCCTCAACTGCTTTCCCAGGCCACAACTAGGGAGCTGGATGGGAAGTGGAGCCGCCAGGATACAAACTGGCGCCCACATGCAATTCCAGCATGTGCCAGGTGGGGATTTAGCCTTTAGGCTATCATGCTGGACCCAAGGTGGGCCTTCTGTGATCGGATCACACCTGTTACCCAGCCAACATAGGTGTTTCCAGGCCACCAAGGCAAACCACAAAACAACCCCTTGACCTAATCAAGTGAACTTGTCAGTGGAGAAATTAAGCAGCTCGTGCTCTTGCTGGGTGGCATTGACATTCATGGATCTTGGCCTGTGAGAGAACAAAAGGAGAAATGGCATCATTTCTGTCTCTGCCCATGCTGGCCTCTGCTAGGGAAGGACAAAGGGACAGAAAAAGGGGGAAAGGAGATAAGCCAAGGCCTGGATACAAGAAAAGCCCCCAGCCTACCATCCCACTGCCATCTTTGGTTCTAAAGTGTCTCAGCCATTCTTGGGGGCACCTGGGAATTTTCAACCCACCTATGCCACACTCACCTGGGGCTTGCACATAAGGCTTCTTACAAACTGTGGGGAGAAAGAACACAAAAGAATGTAAGTAATAGACAGATGAGGTGGCTCCAGATCCTCACCCTTTCCAAGGTGAGGCCAGTGGTTTCACTGTGATTCAAAGCGTATGGGCTGAGAGCTTTTCCATAGATGGGACAGGGGCCAAGTCTTAACAGTAGCTGTGCCCCCAAAGTAGGAATAGTTCTGGCTGTGGGTTAGAGCAGAGCATGACTCACTACCGGGATAGACCAGACAAGAACGCCTCCCACAACTTGTTTCTTCCCCAGCTACCTTGAGGACATGTTTTGTAGCATATTAGAGCCATGGCTACCAGTATGAGGACAGCCAAGGAGACTGTGGGGATTACAGTGGTGGTGAGCCAAGGTGGTGGTCCTAAAGAGAGCAGAGAATAGGGGTCTCCCTTAGACCATGGCGCTGTGTCTGGGTACCCTCTCCAATCCCTCCTTGCCTTCTCCCACCTAAGCCAGCTACTTACCCCAGGCCATGGTGAGTGTATGGTTGAGGCCAGAATGTTGCACATGGCAGCTGTACTGGGCCTCATTTCCGGCAGGCACTTGAATAGCCACCCATGTCTGGTAGGTGCCGTCCCCACTGGGGCGAGTTTCCACATGCTCGGTCTCCAAAGTTAGCTCCTTTCCATCCAGCCACCATCTCAATGAGATATCCCTTGGATAGAAACCCAGGGCCCAGCACCTCAGTGTTGCTCTGTCATGAGTCCTGTGCTTTGTTATCTGCACCATGGGAGGCTCTGCAGAGATAGGGGGAGGAATACTGGTGAGCAGCCTCTCTCTACCCATCCCTACTCTCCCCTAGTGCCTCACCCTGTTGCCCCTGCCACAATCCTGGGCTTCGGGACATGAGACTCTCTCCAGAGGAGATGTGGAAGATCCACGGCCACCGTAGCAAAGAGGCACTGTTCTGAGTAATCTCATGAGGTGTGTGGCCCTACTCTCCCCGAACTCAGGGAGAGGTCTCTAGAAACTCTGTTATTATAGAAATTCTAGATTTTGGCCTGGCATGGTGGTGCAAGTGGTTAAGGTCCTCGCCTTGCACACCCGGGATCCCATATGGGCACCGGTTCTAATCCCGGCAGCCCCGCTTCCCTTCCAGCTCCCTGCCTGTGGCCCGGGAAAGCAATCGAGGACGGCCCAAAGCTTTGGGACCCGGCACCCGCGTGGGAGACCTGGAAGAGGCTCCTGGCTTTGGATCGGCATAGTATCGGCCGTTGCACTCTTGGGGAGTGAATCATCGGACGGAAGATCTTCCTCTCTGTTTCTCCTCTCTGTATTTCCACCTTTCCAATAAAAAAAATAATAAAAATAAATCTTAAAAAAAAAAAAAAGAAATTCTAGATTTTTCCCCCTGTCCCGTGACTCCCTGACTCAGTAACATTCCTAATAGTAATTTTATTTTAAGGACTTTTTTTATTGGAAAGGCAGATTATACAGAGAGGAGATAGAGGGAAAGAGCTTCCATCCTCTGCTTCACTCCCCAAGTGGCCACAACAGCCAGAGCTGAGCTGATCTAAAGCCAGGAGCTAGAAACTTTTCTGGGTCTACTACATGTGGGTGCAGGGTCTCAAGGCTTTGGGACATCCTCTACTGTTTTCCCAGGCTATAAGCAGGGAGCTGGATGGGAAGTGGAGAAACTGGGACACAAGTCAGTACATATATGGCATCCCTGTGCATGCAAGATGAGGATTTAGCCACTAGGCTACCATACTGGACCAATTGTTTTTATTTGTTTGTTTGTTTGTTTGTTTTGAGATTTATTTATTTTTATTGGAAAGGCAGATCAGATTTACAGAGAGAAAGATCTTCTATCTCCTGGTTCAGTCCCCAAGTGGCTACAATGGCTGGAACTTAGCTGATCCAAAGCCAGGAGCCAAGAGCTCCTTCTTGATTTCCCATGCAGGCACAGGGTCCCAAGCACTTGGGCCATCCTCTACTGCCTCCCCAGGCCACAAGCAGGGAGTTGGGTGGGAAGTGGAGCAACAGGGACGTGAAAGAGCACCTGTATGGGATTTCAGCACTTGCAAGGTGAGGATTTAGCCATTGAGCCATCATACCAGGTCCAGAAGTGGTTGTTTTAAGTGAAGGCAAGAATGGTGATACTTCTCTTACATTAGCCCTTGGATGGTTTTGTGTGGGTTTGCATCAGGCAGCTTGAGTGAGAAGCTCTCTTTGCCCCTTCATAGCTGCATGGTCCTAGAGAGGCCCTGGAACTCTCTGACCCTCAAAGCTTATTGGGATATTCTGTCTGGGTCGTTGTGATGATTATTGAACCAATCCAAGAGAAGGGCACAGAATGACATCTGGTGCCGAGTGAGAACTCGGCAGTCAGTGATGTCACGCAGTGTTGTAACTCCAGCTCAGGACGGCTCGGGCAGATTGGCAGTCCCTGTTACTGGATAGGTCAGGTAACTCTTAGAAGGTCACACAGCAGGCTCATTCTGAGCTGGGATTTGGATCTGAAGGGTCAGGTTCTCCTATCTGAGCTCTGAACTCTGTGTGTGCTCTTGAAGTCACACCATCTCCTAACATTATTTGTCCCATCCATTCCATCCCTTAATCAACAGATATTCATGAACGCAGGCTGCTGTGAGCTGGCTTTTTGCCAGTCTCCATGACCACTGCCATCCCAAAGGCCTCCGCCCTCAGCAGTCCTGAGCACCCAGCCCTCTCTGCGTGCCACTCAGATCTTCCGTCACCACCTCTTGGGGTTGGGAGCCATGCAGGCTGCCTGTGGAGTCCCGGGAACATGTTCAGAACAAGGGATATGTAAAGGGCTCCAGCTTCATGGCTGCCTGGAATGACCTGGCATTTATTTCTCAAAGGACAGACTCATCGCACAGTCAATTCCAATGAGTTTCATGAATGATCTACAGGTGAAGGTTGTGAGGCTCAGAATCTGGGGGTTCATTACCAAGGCCAGTCTGTGGGGCAAAGGAGACTCCAGAACGATTCCCTCCACTTCCCATGGTGTAGTGGTCTGAGGTCGGGGCTTTTCGCGGTCCACCTCTTCCTGAGGAAGCTGTTGGCTAATTTGCCAACCTTCTAGGCTGTGATCGGCTCATCTGAGTTTAGATACAGCCCAACCTCCTCCCTCACAGGCCTCCCTTGCAGCCAATGGGCACGGCGGCTCTCCTGAGTTGGGTGTGGAGGGGTCATTCTTGACTTTGCATTGCCCCGATGAGGTCTTACCTTTCTGGGTGAGACTCTGGCCTCCCAGCTCCAGGTACCTGTGCAGGGAGGTGAGGCAGAGGCCTTCTAGGTAGGCCTTGTCATACTCAGCATAGCAACGCTCCATCTCCCACCAGCGCTTTGTTCTTATGGCCACTGGCTCCGCTGACACCCAGCTCAGCGTCTCCACATCCAGCGACAAGTGGTCATGCCCATCGAAGCCAAATTGCCAGAAGCTTCTGGAACTGCCATCTTCATTGATCTCACAGCCAAACATGCGCTGAGCACTGTGTATGCCTGTACATGTGGGCAAGGAGGCCTTAGTCACTACGGGAGCAGAGACCTTGAAAGCTGAGAGGAGCTTGCTCCCCACAAGGGTCTCCCAGGCTGGAGGTAGTGATCAGCAGGGCCTGAGTATTTGAAACATGAACCCTGGATAATTCTCACGAACAGCCAGGTCTGAGAAACCCGCGGGCCCCAGGCTCCCGTTTCCTCACCAAGCAAAAACATCTATGTTAATGATTCTAAAAACACATCATTATTTTATAAACCATAAAAAAAAAAGAGAGAACTGGGTTATCTATGCAAACTGAGACATGACCCATTTCAGAGATTTTCAACGTGAACTCTGCTGAGCTTGCTGATTTCCCAGGGGTCCTGGGCTGGGTTGACACATCCCCCGAGGCACAGCCCTTCCTGGCTTCCTCTCCTTCTGAGACCTTTGCTGACCTGTGGTTTTTAGTTTGGCCATTTAGGTGTGTCAGCTAAAGCAGGAGGAAGAACTCATCCTGGATGTGCTCATGAACAAGCTGAGTGCCACAGAGTGCTCACTGCCTAGCAGCTGCGGTCCCAGGAAGGGTACGAGCTGATGTGCTGCTAAGATGAAGACATGGACGCTGGAAGCAATGCCCCTTCCCTTCTCCCTCACATCGGGAAGAACAGGGGTCCTTGCCTATGTTCTTACCCACGCTGAGCTATCTGCTTATTTCATTCCATCTCTATGGATTTGAGGGTCTCGGGGGAGGTATGATTTGAAGAAACTAGGGCAGGTAAGGACCGGGGCAGGAAAAAGCCTCCCTTGGCCTGCTGAAGGGGGAATTATGGGTAGCCAAGGGTAGGCATCGTAAGTCCGTAGCTCTGCAGGATTTGTGACAACCTGCTGTCAAGTTCTGCTCTAGCTGTGCATCAGGAGCGTACCAGGAAAGCATGCCTCTTTTCCCTGGAGGATGGACGCAACGGGGAGGGAGGGAGGTCAGCAAGCAGATGAGGCCAAGAAAGAGCCTGCTGCGCTTACCACTGCTCTGGTTGTAGAATCCCATCACCGTCCACATCTCTACCTGCTGTACCTTCTCCCAGGCCTTCTGCTTCTTGGTCTCTGTCTCCCAGTACTGGGCATCCACGGGTGCCATCCACGCAGCCTGAGGCTCAGCTTTGCCTGTCCGACTGTCATACCGGATGAAAGGCTGGTCGTCCACATAACCCACAGCCAGAAACTCAGGGAGTTCTGGGCCAGGCTCTGACAGGGCCAGGTAGTGATAGCGGAGTGAGTGGGTCCCTGTGGAAACACAGAAAAGGTCTGAAGTCTGAGTGGGTGGAGTAGAAACTTTCCCAGAGAGCAGCTGTGTTGTGGCACAGTGGGTAATATTTCTACCCGCAATACTATCACATGTGGGAGCTGGTTGGAATCCTGACTGCTCCATTTCAAATCCAGCTCCGTAAATTACCTAGGAAAGAAATGGAAAATGACCCAAGCTTTTGGACCTCCGTACCAATGTGGGAGACCCAGATCCAGCTCCTGGCTCCTGGCTTTAGTTTGGCCCAGGCTGCCCAGTATAGCAATTTGGGGAGTGAACCAGCGGATGGAAGAGCTCATTGTATATCCCCCCCACCTCTCTCCACAGAGAATTACAACTCTGCCTCTCAAATATATATATTTCAAAGATCAAGAAATGGAGATTTTAGCAAGATGAAAAGGGAGCGCAAAAGGCTTGACAGAGGAGAGAGAAGAAAGTGCTTACTGCTTTACGGACATACAGTTTCAGCTTGGGAAGAGGGAAAAGCCTGGAAATGGAGTGACGATGGTTGCATAGCAGTATCAAAGTACTTATTGTCACAGAATTATATACCTAAAATAGTTAAATAGTAAGTTCTGTATTATGTCTATTTCACCACAATGAAAAAGGGCATTCAGATAGCTAAAATAGCCAATCACATGGAAGCTAAAGTCTATTTAATATTGAAGTCTATTTAATATTTTAAAAATTTGGGACTCTGCACCCGTGTGGGAGACGTGGAAGAAGTTCCTGGTTCCCGGCTTTGGCTTCGGATCTGCATAGCATCAGCTGTTGCGCTCACTTGGGAGTGAATCATGGGATGGAAGATCTTCCTCTCTGTCTCTTCTCCTCTCTGTATATCTGACTTTCCAATAAATGAATAAATGTTTTTAAAAAAAAAGATTCCAGATATGGACACATCCTCCTGTAGACGGGCAGCCACTAACCACCACCATGATGTCTCTTGTCCAGCAGACAGCGCGGCTTACCTCCAGGCCAGGACTTCTTTTCTAACTTCAGGTTAGCCAGTTCTGCCATCACCACCTTTGCAAATTGAGCTGGGCCATCAGCCACCACGGGCAATCCCCATGGACTCTCTGCAAGCAGAGAAACAGGGAGAGATAGTATGAATCTCAGTGCACTAACATCCAGTGCATCCTTGTTGTCCTCTTGTAAAGACGGCTGGAAACGAAACTGGCAGGGATGCTCAACCAGAAGAAGGATGGGGGAGCCCTACTTCACGTATCCCTGGGAAGCTCCCCTGCTGCAGCGGACAGCAGGCCTGCAATTTGGGCCTCTGCACCTGGCCTCATTCTTGTGTTTGTGTATGACAACCCATCATCCTGAGGAGCCATTCCAAGATCCCCAGTGCATGCCTGAAACCACACATAATAATGGTATTTAAAAAAAAGAATTAGGGCCCGTCGTGGTGGCCTAGTGGCTAAGTCCCCGCCTTCAACATGCCAGGATCCCATCTGGGTGCCTGTTCTAATCCTGGTGGTCCCATTTCCCATCCAGCTCCCTGCTTGTGGCCTGGGAAAGCAGTCGAGGATGGCACAAAACCTGTGACCCTGCACCCGCATGGGACAACTGGATGAAGCTCCAGGCTCCTGGCTTCGGATGGGCGCAGCTGCAGTCGTTGCGCTCACTTGGGGAGTGAATCATCAGACAGAAGCTCTTCCTCTGTCTCTCCTCCTCTCTAAATCTGAGTTTGCAATTAAAAAATAAAATAAGTCTTAAAAAAAAAGATTTATTTATTTTCTTTGAAAGGCAGATTTACAGACAGGAGAGACAAAGAGAAAGACAGGCAGGGGGCTTGATGGGAAACGGAGCAGCCAGACATGAGCCAGCACCCGTATGGGATCCTGAACCAGCAAGGCGAGGATTTTGTTACTAGGCTGTAGCACCAGGCCTTGTAGGGTAGTTTGAAAAGAAATTGTTTTGTATATGGGGTGGCACGATGACTCAACTGGCTAATCCTCCTCCTACAAGCAACATCATCCCAACAGGGCAGGGCTTCCTGTCCCAACTGCTCTATCTCTGATTAATCTCCCTGTTTGTGGCCTGGGAAGGCAGTGGGGCAGAGCCCAAAGCCTTGGGACCCTGCACCCATGTGGGAGACCTGGAAGAGGCTCCTGGCCTCGGATCAGCTCAGTGTTCTGTCTCTCCATCTGAAATTTAAAAAAAAAAAAATCCTAAAAAAAATTAATTTTTTTGGAAAGCTAAAGTTAGAGAGATCTTCCATCCACTGGTTCACTTCCAAATGGCTGCAGTGGCCAGAGGTGAACTGATGCTTAGCTGGGAGCCAGGAGCTTCTTCTGGGTCTCCCACGTGACTGTAGGGTCCCAAGGACTTGGGCCATTCTCTGCTGCCATTAGCAAGGATCTGGATCAGAAGTGGAGCAGCTGAAACTCGAACTGATGCCTACATGGATGCTCATGCTGACAGGTGGATTAGCTTGGCTCACCACTGTGCTGGCCCCAATTGTGCGTGTTTTAGTTTTATGTTTAGAATGTTCTGAGAGGTTCCTGGCATTGTGGAGCAACCACAGTAGGTGAAGTCAGCACTTGGGGAATGGACATTGGAGTGCCTTGGATGGAGTTCCACCTGCTCTTCCAAGCTAGCTTCCTGCTTCTGCACACCCGGGGAGGCAGCTGACCACGTCAGCACTTATGCCTTCTGTGAGGTTGTAACAGACACTGAAAATGGAAGACCTCCCTCCCTCTCTCCATTTCTCTCCCTCAGCTTCTGTCTCTCCATGTTGTTCTACAAACAAATAAAAATAAAACGAGTGAATTTTTTAAAACTCGGAAAATTCCCGGCCTGGCATTGGTAGCCTAGCAGTTGGAGCCCTCGCCTTGTACATGCACCGGGATCCCATATGACTGCCAGTTCTAATCCCAGTGGTTCCACTTCCCATCCAGCTCCCTGTTTGTGGCCTGGAAAGCATCCAGGATGGCCCAAAGCCTTGGGACCCTGCACCTGCGTGGGAGACCCGGAAGAGCTCCTGGCTTCTGGTTTTGGATCCGCTCAGCTGTTGTAGCCATTGGGGACACTTGGGGAGTGAATCAGCAGATGGATGATCTTCCTCCCTGTCTCTCCTCCTCTATATATCTGACTCCCGTCCCCCCCCCCAAAAAAAAACCTTGAAAATTCCAACTCAAGGAAAAAACAATTTGCAGTGCTGCCACCTAGTGTTAGCCCCCGTTTACTCATTTATGTATGCACTGCTGGCCATCAATTTTGGCAAAGGATTCGGGTGATCTCATACGGAAAATGTTCAGGAAAAAAAGTGCATCCACTCTTATCATGTCTTGTTATTGCTAAAGAGAAGAGTATCACAACTATTAGCATGGTATTTATATCATAGTCTATAAACATTATAGATAATCTACAGAGAAGTGTGCTGGTAGGGTGTGTGCATACACTACCGGCTTTATGTAAGATCTTTGAGGGTTCCTGGGTTTCAGTATTTCGGGGATGGGGGGATTTCTGTAACCTATCTCCCAGCAGACTGAGAGCCACAATGGCTTCTTACACGTGAAGTAATTCGGATAGATTGACTTAAGGGACATCAGCAGTTGTCACGCCCATGTTTCTTATCGTCCGGCGATAAGAGGCAGACGCGAGTGAAGTCTTCTGCGGTAATCTTTATTGCGCGCACGAAGATGAGGAGGGAAAGGCTCAGATCCCGGCAGGCTGTCTGCTCTTATGTGCTGACTGGCCCCGCCTCCGCCGATGATAGGTCGGCGTCATGATTACGCAGGGTCCTGGGCGACTGGATTCGTCAGTCCCAGTGTTCATGCGCCGGCCACGCCTCAGCTCACTGGGCATGTGCTAGGCGCCTGCGCAGTACCACGAAAGCTACGTCACCAGGAACCAAGGTGTGGCTTTTCCGGCCGGCGCCATTTTGGGTACGGCATGTAGCCAGTACATGCAGATGCGGCTGGCAACAAGCAGTTACTACTGATATGGTGGTAACCCCTGACCCAGCATCTCTGCTGTGAGGTGGCAGGTGTCCTGGGGTGTGGCAAGGATTTTCAAACGGTTATGCCAGCGCCTCTGTGCAGAACTGAAATTAAGAAAGAAAGGAGGGCGGGCCCGCCCGGGATCCCATATGGGCGCCGGTTCTAATCCCAGCGACCCTGCTTCCCATCCAGCTCTCTGTTTGTGGCCTGGAAAAGCAGATGAGGACAGCCCAAGACCTTGGGACCCTGCACCTGCGTGGGAGACCCTGGAGGCTCCTGGCTTCCGATTGGCTCAGCTCCAGCGGTTGTGGCCACTAGGGGAGTGAATCATCAGAGGGAAGCTCTTCTTCTCTGTCTCTCCTCCTCTCTGTGTATCTGACTTTCCAATAAAAATAAATAATTTTTTTAACCATTTATTAAATTTTATAAAAAATAAAAAAGAAAGAAAGGGAATTCCAGGCCAAGTCAGAGAACTTCCTCCTTCTCCTGAGCACTCCACCCGCTCGTCCCTCCCTCCCCACTCACCTGCTCCCCTCCTCCCTTCCCCTCATTTCAAGGAATGCAAAGTGCTGAGGGGAACTCTGGGACAGGGGACCAGGAAGATCCCCCGCCTCGGCGCAAGGCGGAGAAAGGACGCGCTGGTCACCCTTACGCCTGTGCCTACCCTCACCCCCTTCTAAACTGAAATAGTGGCTTCCTGGAAGGCCAAGGCGACTTCTCGTGCCAGCCTAAGGGACCCTAGAAAGCTCTGGTGTCGGATGCATCAGGTTCAGGGAGAGCTGCTCACCCCGATCCAGATGACTCAGTGGGGGCCCCTCAGATCCGTGACTGACTTTCACGGGCACTCGGGAGCCAGCTACCCCCAGCAGTTTCCTTCCCTGCCTCCACCCGCGCTCCTTTGGGGAAAGGGTACGGTCTTCAGACCCGAGGACACACCCTCTCCCCCATCTTTCACCATCCGCCGCTCACCTGCTGCCCGCTCTTGCACCAGAAGCAGGAACAGCAGCGTTGGCTGCAGGATGCCCGCGCGCCAGGGGCTCCTGTGTCGCCGGGCCGCCAGCTTGACGCGCTGCTACGTAGCGGGGAGGACCAGCTTGGGCGGCTGCTATGTAGCCAGCAGGACCTTGCGCTCTGCGTCTAAGAATCTTGATCTCACTTAGGCTGAAGGCGACTCGGATTGCTTTCGGTTCTTCTGCGCTTCCGGCTCCTGTGCGCCACCCCCGCCGCACCCGGCGTCCGCTTGCAGTTCCCTAATAAGGAGGGGAACTGGCAGGGGTGCAGGTAGGCGTGCAGGTGGATTTCAGAGAAACAAAAGGTGTCCCATAGGGTGGTCACAGCCCACCCTTCTGCGAGGCAGTCTCCTCCACTGGGTCCTGAAAGGGGGAAAACCAAGAAAACCACGGAACCACAAATGTTAGATAACTGAAATTCTGTGGCTTAAATACCTAGTCACTACTTCCTGCAGTGGAACCGAGGCTACTGCTTTGGGGATCTTGTTTGCAGCCACTGCTGTGTCACTTGAAACTATTTGTGGTTTCCATTGGAGATCCAGTAATCCTACTGAATATTACTACCTCTCTAGAGGTTAGTGATCTATAAAGGTTATTTCCCGATCCAAGCTCACAGATCACCTATATTTTGACCAGGGATCTCCAGGTTCGGGACGGTGTTTTTCAGGTAGGTAGCTCGGGACGTTTGGAGACTCCTGGGGACCCCTTTGGAGGACCCGCTCCCTGGGACCAGGACTGATGTAAGTCCACATCTGCCATGGCTGGAGGCGCCACTGCCCTGCTGTCTTGCTGACACCTGTGCTGATCCCAGGCTAAAGGACAATTAATCATTTATTTTAAATCTGTTGGTTTTTTGAGAAAGACAGAGTCACAGGAAAGGAGATAGGGAAACACACACACACACACACACACACACACACACACGTTCACACACGTTCATAAACTGCTTCACTCCCCAAATAGCTGCAACAGTCAAGTTTTGGCCAGAGAGAAGCCAGGCCCTCCATTCAGGTCCCCCGTGTGTATGTCAGGGGCCTAAGAACGTTGGCCATCCAGGTATACCGTGAAGTGAAGATACACCACAGCATGTATACATCGCTGCTTACGAATGAAAAATGGACTCTCAAGAACCTGTTAAATATGTCTTGACACTAGGATGCTGGGCTTTCTCTCATTGTCTGTACCTACAATGTCAGGATGCACTTAAATAGAGTGATGACTTGTGACCGACGTTGTTACAAGGTAGGGGAAGACAGTGGGGGCAGGGAGGGAAGGGTGGGAGGGGAAGTCCCTGAGCCTAAGGAACTGTATCATGAAAAATAAAAATTAAAAAGCAAAACAAAATCGGGCCCGGCGTGGTGGCGCAGTGGTTAAGGTCCTCACCTTGCACGCCCCGGATCCCATATGGACGCCGGTTCTAACCTGGCAGCCCAGCTTCCCTTCCAGCTCCCTGGCTGTGGCCTGGGAAAGCAGTCGAGGACGGCCCAAAGCCTTGGGAACCTGCACCCGCGTGGGAGACCCGGAAGAGGCTCCTGGCTTCGGATCGGCATAGCATCGGCCGTTGTGCTCACTTGAGGAGTGAATCATCGGACGGAAGATCTTCCTCTCTGTCTCTCCTCTCTGTATATCTGCCTTTCCAATAAAAAAATAATAAAAAATAAATGTTTAAAAAAAAAAAAAGAAAAGCAAAACAAAATCAACAAACAAAAACAACTTTGGCCATCATCCCACTGCTTTCCTAGCTGCATTAGCAGGGTGCTGCATCAAAAGGGCAGCATCTGGGGCCCAGTGTGGTAGCCTAGTGGCCAGAGTCCTTGCCTTGAGCGTGCGTTGGGACCCCTCATGGGTACCAGTTCGTGTCCTGGTTCGTGTCCCAGCTGCTCCACTTCCCATCCAGCTCCCTTCTTGTAGCCTGGGATGGCAGTGGAGGATGACCCAAGGCCGTGGGACCCTGCACGGGCGTGGGAGACTCTGAAAAGGCTCTGGGCTCCCGGGTTTGGATGGGTTCAGCTCCAGCCTTTGAGGCCACTTGGAGAGTGAATCAGAGCATGGAAGTTCTTCCTCTCTCTCTCTCTCTGTCTCTCTGACTTTCTAATAAAAAGAAAAGAAATCTTTTTTAGAAAAGGTTTGTGGGAAAATGAAATTAAAAGATAAAAATAAAGTATTTCTTTTTCAGCTGTATCACATTCAGTGCATTTTTGTAGGTGATGATGCCAGCCACTTTAGTTCATCCCTAAAGAACGGAGGCTCCTGCAGAATTTAACCATGTTAGCCGTCTCTTTTACATTATGAACTAGAGAAAAATGGATTCCCTATGCAGTTTTTTGAGCTTAAAAGCACAAGTCATAGAGAGGTAAATTAGCACTGTACAGTGGAACGTCTTCCATGTGAGCAGGTGTCCTGGTCTGACCCACACATGTCCTCCCGTGTCCCCCACTCCAAACCACCCCGTCCCAGCCTCCTCATTTACACGCAATTGCAGTGGTGCCCCAGTCCATGGAAGTTTCCAGAAGTCATTCTTCATCTGTAATGTACTTTCTCAGCTGTCCCCCCAACACAACCCAAACTCCTCTTGAGACAATTCCCAGCCACTACATCTTCAGACACCCAGATCGGGGGTGTCCCAGGCAGATGCTTTGTACACTATGCCACAACACTGCTCCTTATCCAGTATTTTTTATAGTGAGAGAACTTTGAGCAGTAATATTCTAGATTAAGTCATCATCTACCTAAAAGGAAAGTAATGATTTCTGGTGAATAAATTAAGAAATATCATTAAAAGTGATTCTTTCAAAATACGAATATAGATTCCAGGGATTTTAAAAAGCTAAATTAGTTTTAAAATTGTTCCCATTGAGGAATAGAGGACAAGAATTTCATTAAGAACTTGCAGGGCCCAGCACGATGGCCTAGTGGCTGAAGTCCTCACCTTGCCTGCGCCAGGATCCCACGTGGGCACCAGTTTATATTCCAGATGCTCCACTTCCTTGCCAGCTTCCTCCCTGCTTGTGGCCTGGGAAAGTACTGGAGGTTGGTCCAAAGCCTCAGGACCCTGCACCCAGAGGGAGCTCCTGGCCCCTGGCTTCACAATGACTCAGCATTGCAGCCACTAGGGGCGTGAACAAGCAGATGGAAGATCTTCCTCTCTGTCTTCCCTCCTCTCTGTAAATCTAACTTTCTAATAAAAAAAAATAAGTAAATTTAAAAGAAAAAGAACTTGCTATTGTTTTGAACCCCTACTATATGGCAAGCACACACCTGCTTCTCCTCAAAGCCCTTGCCAGCAGAGACAGCCGTCTCACAGACACACACTGCCGTCATGACTGTGACTCCTGCAACGCCCCGTCCCAGCTCCCTCCCGTTCCATCACCCGTCAGTCCCTTTCTCCTGGCTTCTTGCCCTTAGCTCTCTTGTCCAAGAATCTCCAAATTTGGCAAACTCACCAGCCAGTTTTTGGCTTCATCTGCCCGATTCTGTGCCAGATTAATTTCCTGGCACTAACTAGGGTTGACATGCTATCCACTACTAATGAGCCCTCTTTAAGCACAGTTCCAGGTCTTCCCACACATGGCTTCCTGTTGGGTATTCTATGTAGCTGGTCACATGTAAAGCCAGCCTTAAGTATAGAGATGGGTATTTAGAAGTTAAAAAACAATAGATGTGGCAATGAAACAAAAAGAGAAAAAGGAGGACAACTCAAAGTAATAATGACAGGGCGGGTATGGACACTGCACACCAAGGAGAAATGGACATTTGGTGACAGAGGTAATGAAAATGCCTTTACACACACTGAGTTTGAAGTATATAGGACTGGGTGGTAATTAAGCCAAATTTGGCAGACTTATTAGCTAGATGTGGTGAAATTTGATGGAAACAGTTTCGGAGTAACATAATACGAGGTTCCTAGTCTCTCCTCCAATTGCTACCTGAATGGTTATGGGTAACTTACTTTTCTAAGCCTGTTTCTTTTCTTTTTCAGATTTATTTTTATTGCAAAGTCAGGTATACAGAAAGGAGGAGAGACAGAGAGGAAGATCTTCCATCCGATGATTCACTCCCCAAGTGAGCGCAACAGCCGGAGCTGTGCCGATCCAAATCCAGGAACCAGGAACAACTTCTGGGTCTCCCACATGGGTGCAGGGTCCCAAGGCTTTGGGCCGTCCTCGACTGCTTTCCCAGGCCACAGGCAGGGAGCTGGATGGGAAGCGGGGCCACTGGGATTAGAACTGGCGCTCATATGGGATCCTGGTGGATGCAAGGGGAAGACTTAAGCCGCTAGGCCACAGTGCCAGGCTCCTAAGCCTGTGTTCTTATCTGCAAATGAGTATTGTATCTCGTATTGAAAGCAGAGTTGACAAATTTGCCAGGCACCTGAGTCAGAAAGGTGTGAAGACCAGATTAGAAATGTCCAGAGTACAAATCAACACCCTGCCTAAAAGGACACAGGAGAAAAAGGATTCTGGGATGAGGAGGGTGCTTAAGAAGGATGCAACTAAAGAACAGCAGGACTTCTTGGAAGATAAAACTAGTAGGATGATGTGATTCATTGGATCGTGGATTTGTGTAACAGGGAGATACCAGTATTCAACCTTTATTCTTTGGAGTTTATTGACCATACTGAGGCTCTGCTTGCCTTGCTAAAAGAAAGAGAGCCAGAAACAGCTGAGCGTCACATCTAGATCTCAATCAGCAGGAAGCTGCAGTCAGGAGCCAGAGCTGGCAGTCAATCCCAGACAAACCAAGGATTACCCTTGTTGCTTAACAGTTTTTAAGCAACAGTCCAGTACAGTAAGGCTGGCATTCCAGACTGGGCTTCCTTCAAAAGTCCCAGCTGCTCTGCTTCTAATCCGGCTTGCTGCAGATGCACCTAGTCAAGCAATGGGGACAGCCCAAGTGCTTGAGCCCTTGCCACCTGTGTGGGTACAGTTTTGTTATTTTCATGTTTTGTTCTGTTTTTCTGTAGGATATGTTTGTATAAGCAGTGAGTATTCCAGTGTTGTTAATGTCTTCATAAATGTAACTATAAACTATCCTGTAGATTAGACAACTTAAACTGTCACATTCTGAAAGGCATTGTGGCATAACAGATTAAGCTTGGGGCACCCCAGTCTCACATAAGAATGCTTGGCTGGGA